AGACAGAAGATGACAACTATGTTTGTTGATGCCCTCGCTATGAAGATTTCACGTATGAGGATATCTGAGCCAAATAGAAGCAGGTTAATGTTTGTCCTTGCCAGCCAATCCAACAGGAGTGCCCTCTAACATAAAGGTTAACAACCTCTGTACAGCATTTTGACTCTGCTGAAGATGACTTACCTCGGAGGGGCTTAACTTGACACTTGATAGCGAAGGGGAACGAAGCCATGGTTAGCTACTTTTCGACAACAAAGTAATCCATCGAGAGTCTTTAATTTCCTGTATAAATCGAGGGTATTATTAACTAGCACTTAAGTGCTCATGTGATGTAAGTTTATGCCTGACCTAAGAAGAATTATGTATGCGGGTTCGTTTCTCTTTTTCCCTAAGTAATTTCTATAACATTTCTTTAAAAAATAAATAAAGAAACAAATATGAGACAAGTATCTAATACATTCCATACATGCAAAGTATATAAATTATGGTGCTACATACCATGACCGCAACAACTTTATTCATTACTTGGTTTGTTACCCTTCGGTACCCAGCCATCCACACCTCTAAGCGAGTTTGCAGGAACTCCATTCTTCTTATTAGTTTCCTATAATTACACTTAAAATTAAGTAACAAAATCAAAAATATACAATTTCAATTTGAAATATAAAGAAACTATATACCTCTACTCGAACAACTTGAGAATGGTTTCTTCCAGTTATGTGAATTTAATGTCTTTCTTCTTCCGAATTTCTTTGTTTTTTATACTTTTTTTCTGTTACATATGAACACAAACACAAGATAATTTATTAATTAACAAACTCACTTATGAGATTACGATAGAGTTATATAAACAATTTAAATGATACCTGTGCCTTCCGAGTGCCCAATAATAGACTAAGCTCGCCATTGTATGCTCATGTATCTTCGGGCCGATGAGTTAACCTATCAGCATCGTTGTCGAATGGCGTATACCAATTGTTTAACTCTAGCCTTCCACTCTCTCCATTTTTTTCCAACAGATGCCAAAACAAATTTCTTCATTGACTCGTCGGCATCTGTTATTGATCTAACAAATAATTGGCAATTTGTGACTATTGCATACACACAGCAGCAACAACATACACGCCAGCAGCATACACACAGCAGCAAGCCACAGCAGTAGCTAATTTCACAAATCAAGATAATATTAGCCGTTCCTGTGACCCAACGATGATGAAACAAGCACAAATTTTCCTAGAGACCAAGCACAATGTGCAAATTTTCCTAGTGATTTCAATTGAGGGTAATAAAAAATTTCCCAGTAGGTGTTCTGATCTGTTTTCACATTTGTTGGACAAAACCATTCATATGTTATTAGAAGCTGAAATCTTATTAAAATATATCATATTCTGACTTCCTACATTATTGTTGAAATATTTGAGATGGTATCTACATGCTGAGATTTACACTTCATCAAGTGTTTCTCTTGGCAAATGAAAACTGATAGTGAGTTGGAATATGGGTCAAGATATTTCAATGACTTCAGGACGCTATGAAAGTGATACATTCGTGTTTGTGTATTCGTGAATGTCATGACACTTTGAAGTGATACATGTGTTTGTGTTATTCGTGAATGTCATTGTGCTTAGATAATGGTCACTATTTCATGTAAAAATTTTGTGTACCCATCCGCCCTACGAGGACAAACTACATGGAAAAACTTTTTTACAAGCGATGACCTGCAAATCCAAGGAAAACAGCATGTGCATCCACAGTTGGAACAAAGGCATTCTGAGGAAAAGCAATTTCCTTGTGTGTTGGCCCCAATACTTCATCTACAACAGGTTGAAGCAATCTGGGTTCAGACCAGTATCATTGTACATGTATAAATACACACACATATATACATAGAATATTCAGCTACTTCATTGAATTCTCTCTGTTCGAATTATTCAAGGAAACCAACAAAAGGAAGAAACAAAACAAACTGGAACTAGTAAAATATGAAACAAATAAAATAAATAATAACAAATTAAGATTATAAATTGATATGTTAAAATGAAATAATTCTTGTACCTTTACTTCTCTCCAAATTCTCTCTTTGTTTTCCTTGCGTACATGGCTCCAAGTTCTATAAGTGAGTGCATAAGGTTCCATCTCGAGCTAAAACACCCAAACGAGAAGCCAAGGGTGTATACCCGTCAACCACTTGGTTCAACTCATTAGGCACAATATGTAAAATGCCCACTTGGGTTCCAATCACTACCATGCATGAGTGGTTGGGCCTCTCGAACTATGACCTACTCATCCAAAATCAATATCAAGTTAGAAGATACTAGAAAGAATGATAATACAAGAATTGAGGCAGACAATAGAGCAAATGGAGTAGTGGTCACTTAGTTAAAAAAAAAGAAATATAAACATCAAAAGAAAAAAGCACATCACAGAGAAATCTAATGGAGTAAATTCAATTGAATAAAAATAATTCATACCAGCAGTAGTGTCATGTGTCGACCAGTACTCGTGGATGTACTAGGCGAAGCTACCTGGAGGATACCATGACATGGGTGGATCAGGTATGATGCGTTGTGACCTCTCCTCTGAACTCTCATCTAACTTCCACTATATAGAACTCTCGATCTGCACTCCCACTGTAAGAACTCTCAGAATTTGCAGAGGCGTGAATGTTGCCTCTGCCTAAGAGCATCGTCGATCTTGTCATGCTAGTTTACAAGAAGACACAGCAATACAGTGGTAGAATTATTATGGTTAGACAATAATATAGAAAGTTCCAAATATTAAAAAATTTCTCTACAAATTTAAATTTTAAACACAATCTTAATATAACAGATATGATCTTTCTCAAGGACATAAAAGGTTGTCTCAAGGACAATCACGTTGAAAAGCAAACAAATGACACATTTTAAAAGCAAAGGTTTTATTAACATGCATATCCATGCTAAAAGCACAAATGTAACAATGAATATGAAACAAAATTACAATATCATATCATTTCTTTATCATCTTCAGATTGTGTCTGTGTCGATATCCCAAGAGGTCCAATAGTTTCATCAATAGTTGTTCCAACTTCACCTTGCCTAACCCAATTTATGTCCTCTTCACAAGCAAACGAAGTTGCATCTAATTCTTGGTCGCCAAATCCTTCCACTTCATTATGATGTTCTCCATCATTAATTGGTTGTTCTCCACACACCTCATACAAGTCTCTAGGTTTCATCTTGACTACAACATCCCAATCAGCTTCAACGGGATCATTAACATAGAAAACTTGTTGTGCCTGAGATGCTAGGATGAATGGCTCATCACTATTTTGTTTCTTTGTATATAACAAATGATTGAAATTAACAAGTGTGAAACCAAACCCATCCTGCTTCAGTCCTTTGTTGTCGTCAATCCAGTCGCACATGAATAGCACATATCTACGGTCGTATGAGTAATATAATTCAATAATATCTGTCACATATCCATAGTATGCTACTTCACCTTCCACATGATTCATGTCTCTGGTACTTGCATAGCTACAAGTCTTTGCTTTCACTATAACCCCACTATTTTGAGTTTTTCTTCTCCACTCACGACTCCTCGTATGATACCTAGTACCATTAATTATATACCCATTGAATCTCGTGGCCTTTTTACTAGGTTCCAATGCCAAAGTTTTAATCTCATCTGACAACACAGCATTTTCAATAGCTAGAAGCTCTTCAACCTATTTTTACAAAGTCAACAAAATTAAACATCAACTAACAGAGAATTAAAAATTGAAAACATGAGAATTGAAAATTAAAAACATGTAAGTTATTAGTACTTACATGAGAATTAAACCATCTGGGAAACTCATCATTGTGACGGCGATCCACATCAAAATCCACTACAAGAAAAAACACTTTTGGCGACCACCTATTTTTTTTGGTCACAAATAGTCTACTTTCTGCGACTAAAATTTAACTTTTGGCGACCACAATTTTTTAGTCGCGGAAAATCACCCTTTGGCGACCAAAAACAAAAAGTTGGTTACGGAAAGTATACTATTGGCGACCAAAGGTTTTTTTGGTCGCGGAAGATCACCTTTTGGCGACCAAAAAAAAAGTTGGTCACGGAAAGTATACCCTTTGGCGACCAAAAAAAAAAAGTTGGTCGCGGAAAGTATACTATTGGCGACCAAAGGTTTTTTTGGTCGCGGAAGATCCCCTTTTGGCGACCAAAAAAAAAGTTGGTCACGGAAAGTATACCCTTTGGCGACCAAAAAAAAAAAGTTGGTCGCGGAAAGTATACTATTGGCGACCAAAAGTCATTAGGCACAATATGTAAAATGCCACCACTTGGGTTCCAATCACTACCATGCATGAGTGTTGGGCCTCTCGAACTATGACCTACTCATCCAAATATCAATATCAAGTTAGAAGATACTAGAAAGAATGATAATACAAGAATTGAGCAGACAATGGAGCAAATGGAGTAGTGTCACTTAGTTTAAAAAAAAGAAATATAAACATCAAAAGAAAAAAGCACATCAACAGAGAAATCTAATGGAGTAATTCAATTGAATAAAATAATTCATACCGGCAGTAGTGTCATGTGTCGAACCAGTACTCGATGATGTACTAGGCAAGCTACCTGGAGGATACCATGACATGGGTGGATCAGGTATGATGCGTGTACTCTCCTCTGAACTCTCATCTGAACTTCCACTATAAGAACTCTCATCTGCACTCCCACTGTAAGAACTCTCAGAATTTGCAGAGGCTGAATGTTGCCTCTGCCTAGAGCATCGTCGATCTGTCATGCTAGTTTACAGAAGACCACAAGCATACGTGTAGAATTTTATGGGTTAACAATGAATAAAAAGTCCAAAATATTAAAAATTTCTCTACAAATTTAAATTTTAAACACAATCTTAATATAACAGATATGATCTTTCTCAAGGACATAAAAGGTTGTCTCAAGGACAATCACGTTGAAAAGCAAACAAATGACGCATTTTAAAAGCAAAAGTTTCATTAACATGAATATCCATGCTAAAAGCACAAATGTAACAATGAATATGAAACAAAATTACAATATCATATCATTTCTTCATCATCTTCAGATTGTGTCTGTGTCGATATCCCAAGAGGTCCAATAGTTTCATCAATAGTTGTTCCAACTTCACCTTGCCTAACCCAATTTATGTCCTCTTCACAAGCAAACGAAGTTGCATCTAATTCTTGGTCGCCAAATCCTTCCACTTCATTGTGATGTTCTCCATCATTAATTGGTTGTTCTCCACACACCTCATACAAGTCTCTAGGTTTCATCTTGACTACAACATCCCAATCAGCTTCAACGGGATCATTAACATAGAAAACTTGTTGTGCCTGAGATGCTAGGATGACTGGCTCATCACTATTTTGTTTCTTTGTATATAGCAAATGATTGAAATTAACAAGTGTGAAACCAAACCCATCCTGCTTCAATCCTTTGTTGTTGTCAATCCAGTCGCACATGAATAGCACATATCTACGGTTGTATGAGTAATACAATTCAATAATATCTGTCACATATCCATAGTATGCTACTTCACCTTCCACAGGATTCATGTCTCTGGTACTTGCATAGCTACAAGTCTTTGCTTTCACCATAACCCCACTATTTTGAGTTTTTCTTCTCCACTCACGACTCCTCGTATGATACCTAGTACCATTAATTATATACCCATTGAATCTCGTGGCCTTTTTACTAGGTCCCAATGCCAAAGTTTTAATCTCATCTGACAACACAGCATTTTCAATAGCTAGAAGCTCTTCAACCTATTTTTACAAAGTCAACAAAATTAAACATCAACTAACAAAGAATTTGAAAACATGAGAATTGAAAATTAAAAACATATAAGTTATTAGTACTTACATGAGAATTAAACCATCTGGGAAACTCATCATTGTGACGGCGATCCACATCAAAATCTTTAAGACGGCGATGTGACCGCTTAATAAAATCACGATGCTCCCTATACATTTAAAGTACTTATAAAATGCAAGATACTTATTAATGGTATCAATAAAATTTTGGAACAAAGATTGTATCTTACTCTCGATATGGGACAACCGCAGCAGTGTTAAATAACACATACCGATGAGCTTGTACCCATGATGTGTTATCAAGAGCAAACCCTTTTCCTTTTCCTAAAGCATGACCCAGTAATATCCCAGGATTGTCGCTAACATCGTAATTCCTTATTGGTCGATTCAATTTTGACTCGACATCATCCAAGTACCTTGAGCAAAAGGTCATACACTCTTCAACTAAGTATCCCTCTGCAATTGAACCTTCTGGATGACTTCGATTACGCATATATGACTTAAGTGTCATAAGATACCTATAAACAAACAAATGCACACATGAATTTCAATTATAAACAAACAAATGACTACAACTTTAAATTGGAGTAGAATTGCACACCTTTCTATGAAGTACATCCAGCGATATTGCACTGGACCAGCAATCTTGGCCTCCTCTGCTAGGTGAATAGGCAAGTGCTCCATTATATCGAAAAAGGATGGAGGAAAAATTGTCTCAAGATGACAAAGTGTAAGAGCAATTTGGGATTGAAGACGATCTAACCCATCTGGCTCTAGAGTTTTGGAGCACAACTGCCTGAAGAAATCGATACCATGACATGGGTGGCTCAGGTATGATGCGTGTACTCTCCTCTGAACTCTCATCTGAACTTCCACTATAAGAACTCTCATCTGCACTCCCACTGTAAGAACTCTCAGAATTTGCAGAGGCTGAATGTTGCCTCTGCCTAGAGCATCGTCGATCTGTCATGCTAGTTTACAGAAGACCACAAGCATACGTGTAGAATTTTATGGGTTAACAATGAATATAAAGTCCAAAATATTAAAAAATTTCTCTACAAATTTAAATTTTAAACACAATCTTAATATAACAGATATGATCTTTCTCAAGGACATAAAAGGTTGTCTCAAGGACAATCACGTTGAAAAGCAAACAAATGACGCATTTTAAAAGCAAAGGTTTCATTAACATGAATATCCATGCTAAAAGCACAAATGTAACAATGAATATGAAACAAAATTACAATATCATATCATTTCTTCATCATCTTCAGATTGTGTCTGTGTCGATATCCCAAGAGGTCCAATAGTTTCATCAATAGTTGTTCCAACTTCACCTTGCCTAACCCAATTTATATCCTCTTCACAAGCAAACGAAGTTGCATCTAATTCTTGGTCGCCAAATCCTTCCACTTCATTGTGATGTTCTCCATCATTAATTGGTTGTTCTCCACACACCTCATACAAGTCTCTAGGTTTCATCTTGACTACAACATCCCAATCAGCTTCAACGGGATCATTAACATAGAAAACTTGTTGTGCCTGAGATGCTAGGATGAATGGCTCATCACTATTTTGTTTCTTTGTATATAACAAATGATTGAAATTAACAAGTGTGAAACCAAACCCATCCTGCTTCAATCCTTTGTTGTTGTCAATCCAGTCGCACATGAATAGCACATATCTACGGTCGTATGAGTAATACAATTCAATAATATCTGTCACATATCCATAGTATGCTACTTCACCTTCCACAGGATTCATGTCTCTGGTACTTGCATAGCTACAAGTCTTTGCTTTCACCATAACCCCACTATTTTGAGTTTTTCTTCTCCACTCACGACTCCTCGTATGATACCTAGTACCATTAATTATATACCCATTGAATCTCGTGGCCTTTTTACTAGGTCCCAATGCCAAAGTTTTAATCTCATCTGACAACACAGCATTTTCAATAGCTAGAAGCTCTTCAACCTATTTTTACAAAGTCAACAAAATTAAACATCAACTAACAAAGAATTTGAAAACATGAGAATTGAAAATTAAAAACATGTAAGTTATTAGTACTTACATGAGAATTAAACCATCTGGGAAACTCATCATTGTGACGGCGATCCACATCAAAATCTTTAAGACGACGATGTGACCGCTTAATAAAATCACGATGCTCCCTATACATTTAAAGTACTTATAAAATGCAAGATACTTATTAATGGTATCAATAAAATTTTGGAACAAAGATTGTATCTTACTCTCGATATGGGACAACCGCAGCAGTGTTAAATAACACATACCGATGAGCTTGTACCCATGATGTGTTATCAAGCGCAAACCCTTTTCCTTTTCCTAAAGCATGACCCAGTAATATCCCAGGATTGTCGCTAACATCGTAATTCCTTATTGGTCGATTCAATTTTGACTCGACATCATCCAAGTACCTTGAGCAAAAGGTCATACACTCTTCAACTAAGTATCCCTCTGCAATTGAACCTTCTGGATGACTTCGATTACGCATATATGACTTAAGTGTCATAAGATACCTATAAACAAACAAATGCACACATGACTTTCAATTATAAACAAACAAATGACTACAACCTTAAATTGGAGTAGAATTGCACACCTTTCTATGAAGTACATCCAGCGATATTGCACTGGACCAGCAATCTTGGCCTCCTCTGCTAGGTGAATAGGCAAGTGCTCCATTATATCGAAAAAGGATGGAGGAAAAATTCTCTCAAGATGACAAAGTGTAAGAGCAATTTGGGATTGAAGACGATCTAACCCATCTGGCTCTAAAGTTTTGGAGCACAACTGCCTGAAGAAATTGCTTAACTCAATCAATGGTTCAACAACTTTTTTCGGTAACAAATTTCTCACTGCTATTGGAAGTATTTGTTGCATCAATATATGGTTGTCATGACTTTTCAGTCCAGATATGCTATGTTGTTTGAGGTTAACACGACGAGAAATATTGGATGCATACCCATCTGGAACTTTGATATTCTTCAGGAGTGTACAAAACAAACCTCTCTCTCTATTGTTCATAGCAAAACATGCAGGCGGCAAATAATACCTGTTCCCAACCCCTTTTTTAGGATGTAATGCCTTTCGAATTCCCATATCTTGCAAGTCTCGACGAGCATTTAAATTATCCTTTCCTTTCCCATCAACATTTAATATCGTCCACAATACATTATCACACACGTTCTTCTCAATGTGCAGTTAGGGTTTTGAACTTTTTTTAAAAAAAAATTCTCGAAGGACAAAGAAAAGTACTAAAAAGATTCATTTCAAATGAACTAATGTTATGTTTGGTATATTAGAATGAAGTGAAATGAAATGAACATTTTATCAAAATATTTAGTTTCATATTTAGTTCACGCTTCGTTTGGGATACACATTTAGATTAAAATAGTCATATAAGACAAAATTGATTATTTTAGCAAAATAGGATAAAATGTCACATTTAATCTATAATCTTTTTTTTTTTTTTCACAAAAGTCAAAAAAATCAAAAAAATTAACATAAACGAACTTTTTAACAAAAGTTAAAATAGTAAAAAAAAAAATCAATTAAAAAAAGCACATGTTAGCCAAAAAGTGGTACTTATGCATCCTCAAAATGTAACCATGAAATTTATTGTGAAAAGATTTAATGGTGTTAAATACTGTGGATCATGGACCTGTAGTGAGCTCATAGGTGACTCAAATTAGTTCAAATTTGAAAACTAACCCTTTTTGTAAATACTTTTTTGAGTAGTTAACATTATTGTTTAAGATGAGGTAGTATGATGAGGACATTTCTATTATGATCCTTTTATATTCTTTGTAGATGACAACAGGGCCGCTCTCTCTTTCCAGGCAGGTCTAAACTAAAACAAATGGATAGCATATATGCTCTCTCACCTTTTTAGTACCCACTAACTCATTGTTCAAACAAACTATAGCCTAACAGGAAAAGCAAAAAAGGAAAAAGGGGATGAATAAAGAACTGCAAAACCACACATACTTGTAACTTTGCATCAGACTTCAAAAAAATATCAACTCATTCATACACTAACACATTTTTTTTTAATGTCTTTCTTTGTCATTAAGGAATATGATATTTCAGAGGTTCATTGATAAGCCTAATACTGTAACTTTCAAATAATTAAATAACAAGTTTAAAAATAGCATACTGATGTAACATATTGAAGTTGCAACAATGAAGCTAATCCCATCTTTAGCATTATTTGCCTCGTTTTTGTGTAGAAAAAAGAAAGAAGAAAAACGAATTCAGAATGGGATTTTTAATTACACAGAGATTTAGTGAAAATATTTCAACATTAATAATACAAGGTTCATCCAATTGGCATCAGTTCTCTCCTTTAGTCCCATAGCAACACAAAGCGCAATTCTGTACAAATATTTGCTTGGTGAATCAAAGACAATTTTCAAAACATCATTTATGAAAACAACCTCTACATATTAAGAAAGATAAAAAAATAAAAACTAAAACAAATGATGGGTATTTTCGAACTTTCATTTGTTACTGTTTTCGAGAACACAAAACCAAAGTCCAAAACGAACAATCCCCTCTGTTTTTGTGTTTTCTAGAAAGCGAAAACAAAAAATAGGAAAATGAAAACATAACTAGAAGCATATTTCAATAATTTGATGATGCTGAGCACTGAGGGGTACTGATAAGCATATAATAAGAGGAACCTTTCCCCACCCAGTTTCCACCAATTTCTAAAGACTTAAAGGTGGGAAAGGTAGGCTTCAAATATCTAGAAGAATATTTCAATTAATTACTCTGTTTGTTACATCAAACTAAAAATTAAAAATCAAATTGAATATTTCAATAATATTCAATAATTAACTCTGTTTGTTACATCAAATATTCAATAATATTTCAATATTATTGAATATTTCAATAATATTTCATATATAGTCTTCCTTTATCTTAATGTATGTCTTTTCTCCCTCTAATAATAAAAATTAAAAATCAAACTGTTATTATTTCCGTTGTGAGAAATGTAAACGAAACATTAATAGCTTGATGTGTGTGCGTGAGAGAGAGGTGAGATACATCCACCAAATCCAAAACAATGAATCCAAAAAAATGAACTCAAAACAATGACAAATCAGAGATCTGAGTTCATACAAACAAAATGCATATATAATAAAAACTTACAGATTTGAGTTCTGCAACCAAAAAAAAGAGACCGATTGAGCGAGATCTGGAGAGCTTCAAATCTGTGACAGGTTCTGAAATCGACAGATCTGAAATAGATCGAGACTGTTTGAAATCGAGCGAGAGAAAGTGTTTGAAATCAAGCGAGAAAGATTGGTTGAAATCGAGCGTTTCAAATCAGTGAGAGTGGGGAGTTTTTGAGCTTCAAATCGAAAGGGTTTCTGAGCGAGAGAGAATCTGAGTTTAGAAAGTGAGACTGAGAGAGTTTAGAAAGTGAGACTGAGAGGGAGACGAGAGTGAGACTGACGGAGAGACGCTTTGAAAGGGACGGAGCATTGAACGGTGTTCACAAGTTGACCCAAACGGTACCGTTTTACTGAGATCTAATACAACGTTTTTAAAAACGTTGTATTTAAATAATCTATAATGGCGTTTTTCATAAACGCCATAAAAGAAGCGTTGCAATAACCATCTTTTCCTGTAGTGACACACACACACACACACACATATATATATATAAAATATATAAAATCTCAAATCCAAGACATAAATATACGAAAATCTAAAATATATACACACATAATTGTTTGGAGAGCCTCTAGGGTTCTTCAATTGTAACCGTAAAAAAAATAAGATGGTAAAGTAGCTAACCTAATAGCTAGTCTATTAGAATTCAAAATTAAATTTACATTGATTAAAATACCTAACAAACCTTATTTAAATATCCCCTTAGAAATGCGCGAATTCTAATTAATTGTGTAATAAAGGAATAATATAATTGAATTCTATTAGTCAGCTAAAGTTCATCCAGTCTGGTCGTCATTCCTCGCATCACTGGCGCATCATTTGGCTGAGTTATCGACGTTGCTTGGTTTGTTTTTGATAAATAAATTTTAGAGAAATTTTTTTAAAATTTTATTTTATTTAGTAATTTTGAAAAAAAAAATTAAAATTACTTTCTTTTTCTTAGATATCAATCAATTATTTTTTCTCTCTCCTCTCTCATTTTCGATCATTTTTTTTTCTTACATACATCTATTCAATTATAACAAAATATCAAATCATTCTAAATTTTCATAGTACAAAACTATTTTCAAAACATATAACCAAACAAATTAAAAAAATTTCTAAACTCTGTTCTCAAATTTTTTTTTTAAAATTTATCTCTCGAAACCAAACTACACATCCATCGTCTCTGGTTACTATTGTGCAATTATTATTATTATTGTTTATAAATATTTCCAAATATATTTCTTTTCATTTTCATGAAGATCTTATGATGGCTAGCTAGCTCGTCTGTGGCAGTTCCTATATTGAAGCCTAAGTCCAAGAATAAGGTTGCCTTTCCATAAATATAATTAAAAAAATAAAAAATAAAAGCAAAGAAAAAAAAAAGACTAAAAAGTTGCTTTCAATTGATGGGAAAGAAAAGAAAAGAAGAAGAAGAAAAAAATTTGTTTTCCATGTAAAAAAAAATATATATATATAAGGCACGCAATAATTGTTTTATTGAAGTAAACATTTTTTTTCCCTCAAATCATTTTTCTTAAAAAAGTGCAAAATTATGTATCACGAGAAGTTTAAATTATTTTTGCACATAAATTTTTTAATAAACTAAATGATTAGCGAAAAAAATTATTTGCATTTTTTTTCCCTTTATTCTTCCTTTCATTCATTTTTCTCCAGAAATATTATGTTAAACAAATGTTTCTAACAAGTGAACAAAGCCTAAAGAGGAGTTAAAATTCCAAAATTTATCCATAATTTTGCAAATATTATGTTAAACAAAGTTTCTAACAACTGAACAAAGCCTAAACAGGAATTAAAATTTCAAAATTTATCAATAATTTTGCACCTTCTCATCGTTGTGCACACAAAATAGGGGGCTCAAAAATCATCGAATTTATAATCTATTCATACTGATCTCAAAAGTCTAGATGCCATTTTTGTGTCAGGCAAGATATATGATTCAAGAAAATAAAAAGAAAAGAAAAAATGAAAAATTGTAAGATGTGTTTGGATTATAAATTTGGATAGAGGTTTAGAAAGAAAATTTGAAAAGGTTGATGAAATATGAATGACATATAATTATATTTTACATACTTTTTCTAGTTTCACTTTCTAAATTCATATTTAAATTTATGATCCAAACACAACTTTAAAAAAAAAAGATGTTGACCAAGAGAGAATACATAGGGGTATTTTAGGAAAGGATCAAAAGAGCTAAAAGTTAGCTTTTTATCCATTTTGAATCATATCACCTCTTACATTAAACAGCGAAAAAAGTTTAAAAAGTCAAAAAATTAATTTTTTACCATCTTTTTAAAATACCACATAGTCATCGTGACCCATCATAGGTCACCTCTAAAAATTCACATTTGTTGAAGTCGATTAAACCTTTTAGTCAACAAACTAATAACGTTCTTTTGCAGTTAGTGTAAAAGAAATTGATTATGATTCATGTGATAAGGAGATGAAGGACGGAATCAAGATTTTATTATTGGATGAGTCAAAACAAAAATAATTTTTTTTATCATATACATAAAGCACACATGTATGTATAATATGAAATATATAAATTATATACACATAAAAAAAATTAATACCATAGAAGCAATTTATAATAAGATGAATAAGTTTTTTAGTATAAAATAAAAAGAGAATTCAAGATAGAAGAAGAATGACATATATATTTTTTTATACTAAGACCATTTTATGTACAAAATAATATATATATTTTTAAAATTTTATGACAAACAATAATTTTCACAAAAACAAGAATGTTAGGACCCTCCACAGCCTTTTCTTAGTTCCGTGGCTCAAACAGGCGGTTTCGAGGACAAGAGATATGTCTCATAAACACTTACATATTTACAGCCTGCCAACCAGTGAGATCAAATTATTCCAAGGGTTTCTAAGTTGGGCCATTTCCCAATATAAGCCATTTTTGTATCGTATTTCCAAAACTAGGCCAACTTCTGACGGAATTCCAAAACTAGGTTGACTTATTTATTTTTCAATTGAAAAAAAAAATTTATTC